CTTCCAGAGATCCTGAGTTCAATTCCCAGCAACCACATGGTGGCTCACAACCATCTATAAATGTATATGCAGCAGAGCAGTCACATACAATAAATAAAATAAAATAAAATAAAATAGTCCAACTCGATGAAGAAATGAGTTTTCTTTGGGTTGCTTACAAGAGTATGAGTGAAGCTGTCTTAGTTACTTTTCCATTGCTGTGATAAGCCACTATGACCAAGGCAACATATGGAAAGAATGTATTGAGAGCATACAGTTTCAGAGGGTTAGAGTCCATGACCATCATGACAGGGAGCATGGAAGCAAGCAGACTTGGTGTTGAAGCAGTAGCTGAAGGTTTGCATCTTGATCCACAGTAGGAGGCAGAGAGAGAGAGAGAAAGAACATACACTGGGATGGCATGGACTTTTAAAACCTTGGTGACACATCTCCAAAAGGTAACACCCCCCTAATCCTTCCCAAAGAGTTCCACTAACTGAGGACCACATATTCAAGCATATGAGCCTATGGGGGCTATTCTCATTCAAACTACCACAGGGGGTTACTTATAGGAGCAAACACAACTTAATTACCCAAAGCCCACCATAGTATGAGTAATGACTCATGAAAACTGGGAACCTGGAGCACACTGCACAGTCTGTAGCAGCTTAATGGGTTGGAGAGGGTCCTTTACAAGTAGCTTGCTGGTTTGAGTTTTTTCCATGCACCTTGCTGGCCTGAGAGTGTCTCTCAGCAGTTTTTAATGCTTATATAAATTTGAGGAAGGAGGAGCCTAGTACATTTGGTCAGTTTCAGAAACTTCCTGAAAGTTTTGTGTTGTTTATTGCCTGAGTTTTAACTAGCTTCTCTGTAGGATGGAAATTTTTGGCTTTAACTGCCACCCCTGCCCCCCCCCCTTTTTTTTTAAAGAAAATCCCATGCCTTTCTAGGGTTCTCTCCAAGCTGGAAGATTTTTATCTTAGAGGAAATTGCTATAAAACACTACCTTAGTCTGATCCAGTTCATTTGAGATGCAGCCAAATCATAGCTTCAGATGAGTGAGTGTAAGAAACATTTTTATTTTATGTTTTCCTACCCAGGTAGCCTAAAAAGGACCCTTATTTCCCAAGTCCCCTCTTTCCTCTTTATACTCTTTACCAATTGCATCAGAATGTCAGTCCCATCAGTTATGAAGTTGAGCCCTCACCAACGTGGTGAAACACAGTCACCACTACATCTGAGACAAAAGACAGGGGCCATTTTGGCCAAGAGTGCTTCTTTCTAGACTGGTTTGGGTTCTGACACACACTTCTTTTTGCAAAAAAGAAATTGCCTTGCCCTTGCTGGATTACTTTTGCTTTTTTCCTGTGTTTCTTTGTGTGACATCAAGATGATTATCTTCCCAGCACAGAGGTTTCAGAGGGTGGTTTCCTGTTGGGAGCCGTGTCCTAGCAGAAAGCGGCTATCGTCTTTGCAGCCGTCTCAGGCCATATATTTGAATGTTGATACTTTCCCATCCTGACAAGAGACTTGTTTTTCTAGCGTGATGTTTTTGCAAACAGCCCACAATAGCTGAGCACATGCTGATAAACATCATGTTTTTCTCACATGTACTGGACTTATGGTTTAGTGTCCCCAAATGCAAGGCACTCGTGGTTAAGTGTCTCCAGCTGCACTCTCCTGCTTGTGCTTATATACCCGTAATTAACTTTCAATAAACGAGACTTAATCAGACAACTAACTTGTCTCCATTCTTCGAGTCTCTTGCCCCTCCATCCCCACTCTCTCCCTTTCAGACCCCATTGACTGACCCTTGGGCTGGGTCAGTTTCCATAGCTTCAAATGGGGTCTTGTCACTTGGAGACTTCTACAGGTTCAGATAGGGCTGGTCACCACAAAGACCAGGCATAGGATTAGTGTGGGATGGACCTCCCAGCTCTATTCATGACCTCCAGGTAAGAAAGAGTTGAATTTAGTCACCAACAGTCAGTAGTTTAATCAACAACGATTATGTAATAAAACCTTCCTAAAAGCTCTGGACATGGATGCTTAGGAAAACTTCTGGTGTGCCTGGTAGGTATCTGTCCCATAGGGACATTCTTGCATCTTCCACTCCTTGGCCCCACCCTATGTCTCCTCATCTGTGTGATGTTTTAAATAAGAGTGGTCCCCATAGGCTCATAGATTTGAATGCTTGGCCACTAGGGATTGGGAGGTATAGCCTTGTTGTTGGAAGAAATGTGTAACTAGGGGTGGTCTTTGGGATTTCAATAGCCCAAGCCAGGCCCAGTGGCATCCTCTCTTCATGTTGCCTGTGGGTTTGGATGTAGAACTTCTAGCTCCCTCTCCAGCACCACATCTGCCTGTGTGCTATCAGGCTTCCATCTTGACCCTCTGAAAATGTAAGCCAATTAAATGTAAGCCCCAATTAAATTAAATTAAACTCTTATAAGAGTTGTTGTGGCCATGGTGTCTCTTTCCAGCAATAGAACATTGACTGAGACAATCTGGCTACTCCTGATCTCTGTCCTTCATGACAAATGCTTATTTATAAGCTCGGTGTTTGAAGTGTTTTTGTGATTTATTATAATGGCTTGTTTAACTTGAAGCTATTTCTGGAGTAGTTAGTGTCAAGACCTGGGCTCTGGCAGCTCTAACAAGCTAGGCTCAGCCATCTGTCCTCAGTACACCAATTAAAGAATCATTTAGTAGTGAAAAACAGATTTATTCAGTGTGGCCATGCTGAGGAACAAATAAAGAGGCTCATTGACTCCCTAGGTCCATCTTTGAGGTCCTGGGTGAGGTTTAGACTTACATAGCGGGTATTCTTGGTCAAGATGTGGTCCTGCCCACCACTGACCTGTCATTGTCTCCAATCTATCTGAAGATAAGGTGGTCTGGTAAGTTGTCAACACTATGTGAAGTCTCCTCTTGCGTTGGTGTGATAAAGACCATGATCAAAAGCTACTTGTGGGAGGAAAGTCGTAGTCCACTTTGAAGGACCAGAATAAAGCAGGAACTGAAGCAGAGACCATGGAGGAACTTTACTGGCTTGCTCACCCTGACTTGTTTAGTCTGGTTTTATTTATTTATTTTTTTTAATATACTTCCAGAGCTACCTGCCCAGGGATGACACCACCCACAGTGATGTGGGTTCTCCCACTCCAATTACTAATCAAGAAAATGCCTCACATGTCTACAGGCCAATCTGAGGGAATCTCAAATGAGGTTCCCCTGGGTGACCTTGGCCTGGGTCATGTTGGCTGGAAAAACAACCAAAACCAAGTAACCAGCACAAGAGGCAGGTTCCTCCTGACTGGACAGAACTTCCGCCCTTTTATTCTCCCAGAGTGAGATTCCTGGAGAAATTCCAATCCTTGACATCCGTTGTCTCAGTAGCCTGATAGCCAAAGGGAGGGGTCAGGAGTCTCTCTTTAGACCATCTCTACTTTTAGTTACAAAGGGACAGTAGAAGTGACCGAATAGGGAGTGTGGGAGGCTCTAGACTTGGAGATGGTTTCTGAAGTTGGGATTGAACCTCTAACTTGTGGAGTCTGATGTGAATCTTGTCTGACTGTGTCAGGATTGGCATGAGCTGTGTGTTATGCTGCTTGTGTCAGGGTAGGGCACACATGCCTTGCTGGAGAGCCTATACAATGCTGGCTGGGAGCTGTGTCAGTGTGTGGCCACCCTTATTCTGCACACTGGATTACTATGCCTTAATTCCTCCATGCTCCCACTCTAGCTTAGGCTTCAGGGCCTTGACTCCCTGTGCTGGCTAGTCTTACGTCAACATGACATAAAACTAGAGTTATCTGAATGGAACCTTAATTGAAGAAATGCCTCCTTAAGATCCAGCTGTAAGATATTTTCTTAACTAGTTATTGATTGGGGTGGGAGGAGCACACTGTGGGTGGTGCCGTCCCCTGGGCTGGCGGTCCTGGGTCCTATAAGAAAGCAGGCTGAGCAAGCCAGGGGAAGCAAGCCAGTAAGCAGCATCTTCCATGGCCTCTGCACCAGCTCCTGCCTCCAGGTTCCTGCCCTGTTTGATTTCCTGTCCTGACGTCCTTCGATGATGAAGGACATGAATGTAAAGGCCAAGTAAACCCTTTCCTCCCCAACTTGCTCTTTTGGTCATGGTGTTTCATTGTGGCAATAGAAACAGTAATTGAGACACGCCCCTTGCAAGTTCAGCTTCCGCTCACCTGTGGCTGACTTGCCACCCTGGAGATCCTAGAGTAATGCAGGCCTGGGCTTGCTTTGTCATTCCTTCAGGAGCTCAGGACAGATAGACAGACAAAAAGACATAAAGCCAAATGGATTTTTATTAGCAGCAGATAGAATATAGCATTATGTTCTCTCTGGATCCAAGAGTGAAGGTTCTTGCTGTACAGGCTGGGGCTGGTCACTCCTGACAGGCAAGGATCCCAGGGCAGGCTGCTCACTGAAAGGATATCTCTGTAGGGGATACAGATGGGGATGAGAAGAGGGAGGTTACCTCTGCTTCTATCCTAGTCAGACCCAGCATTCCAGGGAGCTGAAGGGCAGACCCCTTTATTGGCTTTGCGGGTGAGCATGTACAGTTCTTTACACTGCCCCCTAATCACTGACAGGCAGGTCAGTGAGACACACCCACCGACAGGAGGGATGCCCAGGCCACAGGTGGACATGGACAGCTGGACTTGAGCTCACATTAACTTTGAGCACTTCATTGTTTCCTCAGGTTAAGTGCCAAAGGCACCATGTGGCTCCCTAGACTCACCAGGACTAGCTTTGAGTGCTAGAATGGTCTGTTCTCTCAGGCCTCCTTGCTCATTGATATTCACTTCTGCCATGAGCGGCCACAGCAAGTCCCCACAGGCTTGCAGGTGGTGTACGTGGATTGGCTAGGACATTCTCCTCCTACCCTGGGACCTAGTCCTGGGCTGTTCTTACATCGTATCTGCTCTTGGATCTGATAAGAGTAAGGTGGTGGCCAGAGGAGGTCTAGGGAGAAATGGGGCTCCATTGAGGCTGCCTACCTGATTGTGGGGGCTCACATTTCATGACACAGTTAGTGTTGCAGCATTTCATGTTGCCATCACAATCACTGTCTCGGGAGCAGAGTACAACCTTTGGGCATGGCCCAGCAGCGATCATCTGGAATGAATTCCAGGGGCAGCGGCCAGCCTTTTCAACATTAGCTGGGGAGAGATCATAATGCATTCTCTTACCACCCAAAGCCCTTTAACATGCCCCAGCCTGGCTGAGCGCACCTTACTGAACTCCTGACTGAAAAGACCCCCATTTTGTGAATGGGGCATTTGTTGAGGTCTGTCCTATCATCGGGCAGCACCTTTGGAAGACCAAGACCCCAGGGGTCAGGATGGGCAGCAGGCTGCAGGGAGGGTCTGGCAGCGGGTGGGGCCCACAGAGTTGGTGTGTGGATAAAGGGCTATGTGTCCTCTCTAGGTAGACTCTTGACCCTGCTGGGTCCTCCCCACCACCAGGACTGGGTGGGGACTTACTGTTGACAGGAGTTTGGCAGGTCCGGCCACAGGAACTGGGACAACACATGGCATTCTGGGCACACTCCTCGTTGGTTCGACAGTTGATACAATCTGCGTCCTCACTGGAGCTGGCTTCAGGACACATGGACTGAACTGTACAAAAGATGGGGAGGGATATGGGGGCCTAGATGTCACCCTGACTTGTAAGGCTTCTCAGAAGAAGGCCTGGAGACACAGATAGAAGCTACAAAGAGGAGCCTTTGAGGAGCCTTAAAGGTGAACAAGACAAAACAAAACCAAAAAAACCAAAAAACCCAAAAAACCTGCCAGAATTGGAGTCTGGGTGATAGAAGCATGAGAAAGCAACTGTGAAAATTAGGAAGCACATCACGGCTTGTGGTCCTACGCAGAGCATTAAGTCACAGGCTCGTGGTCCTACGCAGAGCATTAAGCCACAGGCTCGTGGTCCTAGCAGAGCATTAAGCCACAGGCTCGTGGTCCTACGCAGAGCATTAAGTCACAGGCTCGTGGTCCTAGCAGAGCATTAAGTCACAGGCTCGTGGTCCTAGCAGAGCATTAAGCCACAGGCTCATCATTATAGGTAGAGCATTACAAATCTGACCAGAAGTGACCAGGGCCTGAGACTAACTCCCATCAACCTGTCTCTCAACCTGAACATTTTGTACCCAGGTCCCTGGCTGTGCAGTTCGTGTGGGACAGTCCCCTATTTCCTGTGACCCTTGGATTCTCTCCTAGCGGTGTCCTTTTGCTCCTTGCCTCCTCAGCATAGACAGCTGGGATCAGTCTTGGGGGACTGTCCAAGCCACACCCTGCAGTAAGGTGAATAGCTGGGGCCTACCTGAGTTGAAGACTTGTTCCTGTAGGTTCCGAGCAAGGGCCACCTCCAGGGCCAGCAGGCCAAGAACAAGGCTGATGAAGCAGCGCATGGCGTCGGTGGCAGGCAAGTGACTGATGGCAGTCTGAGTGTTCGGGATGCATTTAAAGGACCTACAAGAGGAAGACACTGAGGAAGGGGGGGCAGGCTGGCATAGCCCTAGATGGGCTAAAACACTTCCTTCTTGGACACACAGAGAGCAGGCCCAGGCTGCCAGGAACAAGGGCCACAGCGGAGGCCAGTTTTAAAAAGTCCTTTGTAAGGGTGGTCATTTTTTTTCACTTAAAAGGTAATACTTGTTTATTATGAAAATGAAGAAAATTAAGGAGCAGAGAAGGAAGAAAGAGGATCTGTAACAAATGTGACAGGTGTCACTTTGAATGGTTGGGCTGGAACCCTTCATAGACAAAGGAAATTCTGAGCTCCAAATTTGTACAGTCACATAGAAAACAAGACAAGAGTTGTCAAACAAGCCTCAGATTGGGGCTACATCAGAGGATGACTCCGGTGCTTTTCTGGAGTTTTCTAAAATTTTTTTTATAAGAATGTGGAGGCACTTGCTCCTTGTAGAGAGTGAAGGGTACATGTTGAAAAGGACCTGCACATTGGAAGGCCACTTCCCAGAAGGGCCCCTACTGTGCCAAGGATGTCATGGGGCAGGATGGGATGTCCTGCTGGGCACTATGCCCCATTGCTCGCGGGACATTTCCTCGATTTCTCTTGCAAGGAAGGGGATGTAGTGACTCAGAATGACTGTGTGCTTACTGGCTGCCAGTGCCAGCCTATGGTGCAGGCCATACTCCTTTGTCTGGCCAGAGGTCTTCACTGGTGGTCCATGGCCTCTCCTCTTTGAATACAAAGTCTCAGGGGAAGCTCTCTCGGGCTGTAACCTTGGTATTTCATTTCAGGTCAGTCTCAAAGGAAAACCTGTGCCTACTAGCAGCCTCTCACTAGTCCTCTGAGCCCCCCAGACCTTGGAAAACACCCCTCTGCCTGTTTCTGTGTTTGTCTATTCTGGGTGTCTCATGTAAATGGGATCTGACAGTAGGCAGCCCATTGAGTGTGAGCATGCTTTTAGGCTTCTCTGCCTTGTGGAAGTTGCCAGTGCTTCAGTCCTGTTTATGGGCCAGTGTTTCACAGCAGGCACACAAACATTTGATGTTCCATCTAACACAGTCACCCCCACATTTAGGCCACTGTCAGGCCACTGCCATGTTTGTGTTACTCAGGTCTAAGTCATACCTATGCCCTGCCAACGCTCTGCTTCTACCCCTGCTCCCATTTCCTCCTTTGCTGGAACAGAAGAAGGGCCACCAGGAAAGGGCTGGCCAGGGGTTCTTGGCTGCTTGAGTTTCCCAGAAGGCCTTGTGTCTTAAGAGCCAGAGCTCTGTTCTCTCTGTATCTTGCTGGGGCTCTGTACACATGGAGCCAGGCCCGATGCACTCTGTGTCCTATGCCCACTGGCTGTTATTCTTGCCTATGTATCACTGGCCTGCTGTACTTACTGACACAGGCTTAAAGGAGAAACCACTGAGAATTTCAAGCTGATGACTGCAGTTGTAAACACAAATGACTGCGTGGGCTGCTGGCACGGAGCCAGTAGGCTTCCCGGGTACCCCTCTTTCAGCTCTCTCTTGGTTGCTTCCATGGTTCTCAGAGCCCCCGTTCCTGCCTTCCTTCCCGGCTGTGCTCAAGTCTGACAGTGAGATTCTGCTGCTACTTCCTGTTTCTCCAAATGGTTTGGCTCCTCTTGGTCCACGCCTGGGTCCTCAGCCTCTTGAAACTCTAGGCCCTTGCTTGAGCCCCTTCTCTTCACTCCTCACCTTTGGATGTGTGTCCTGTGTGTGATGAGTAGCTGTGACCCGAGTCTCTGTTGTACAACCCCTTTTCACTCAAGGGGTCTCCATGATCTGCACCCATTGGCAGGGCTCTGGACTCCTCCCACCCTGCTCTAGCAGCAAAGGAATTCCAGCTTCAGCCAGGACAGGAACCAGCAGACTGGTTGAGCCTACCCTGTGGCCTACAGAAGGCCAGGGGCTCTTCAGCGCTGCCATCTTGTTTCAGCTGATGTGTGTGTGTGCGAGAGTATATGTATGTGTATGTACATAAGTGTGTAAAAGTGTATGAGTGTATACAAGTCTTGTATATGTGACTGTGTGTATGTATATGAGTGTGTGTACAAGTGTGTGTGTGCACATGTGTATGTAGGTAAGATCAGGTCTCTCCAGTTCCTCTTATTCTCTTTCAGAGCCACAGGAGGGGAGAGGTGGGCCACCTGGAAGGGAAGTGGCTTGCCTCAGGCCTCAGCTCAGCCCTTGTCCCTGGAGGTTTGTTTCTTACCCTTTTCGGACATAATCAAAACAGGTTCAAACATGGATGCACAGGTCAGCTTTTAGAATGATAACTTCTCTTTTTCTTCCCCTCTACTTATAGATATCTTGGAAACTGGTCCCTCTTTGATACACAGATACACTGTTGGATGGCTGGTTGGTTTGTATAGCATTATGGATGTGACCAGGTATTTTCTGGCCTATCGAGGAAATTTAGATCATTCCTGATTACCTACTATTTTTTTTAAAATTTTATTTAACACGTAGTGTTTGAGTGTTTTATCTGCCTGTATTTTTGTGTACCGTGTCATGTATGCCTGGTGCCCATAAAGGCCAGAAGAGGGTATCTGACTCTCTAGAACTGGAGTTACAGATACTTATGTTCCACTATGTAGTGGTTGGGAATTAATACTGGGTCCTCGGCAAAAGTACAGCAAGTACTCTTTGCTCTGAGCCAACTCTCCAGCCCCCTGGGACTGATTTTTTACTGTCACAAATGTGCACAGGGGCAAAAGGCTCAATAGGGTTCAAATACAGAAGCAGCATTACTGAGAAACAGGTTTCATGTTTTGCCCATGTGGTGGGTCCTGTCTAGGATTCTCCCAGGTAACTGTCCTAATTTTGGACTCCTGCTGCCACAGATGGCTACAAGGGGTCCATCTTCTCAACACCAGCCATTAAACACACTCGTCCTGCCCATGTGGATAGACTGAGAGTTAAAGATGCAGGTGTCACCATTACTTCATTGTTTATTTGTTATTAGTATGTATACAGCGTGTGTGCATATGTGTGTGTAAGACAGGAGGGTAAGTGTACAACATGTGTGCTATGGTGTGTGTGTGAGCGTGTATGTGTGTAGGTGAGAGGACAACTTTCAGGAGCTGGTTCTCTCCTTTCAGTGAGCTGCAGTGATCAAAGTCAGACAAGTCAGACTTGCATGGCAAATACTTTTTTTTACCTGCTCAGCCATCTCACCAGCCCACTAATACTAATATGCTATTTTTACCTTATGTCTCTGTATGTTTATGTATATGTGTGCAGTGCCATGGAGGCCAGAAGGGGGCATCAGATCCTCTGGAACTGGAGTTACAGAAGGTTGTGAGCTGCCGGGTGGGAGCAGGGAACGGAAAGAGCAGCCAGTGCTCTTAAAGGCCGAGCCATTCCCTCCCCGCCTCCATTGCTTTTTTCTTTTAAGATTTATTTATTTATTTATTTATTTATTTATTTATTTATTTATTTCATGTATGTGAATACGCTGTCGCTGTCTTCAGACACACCAGAAGACAGCATCAGATCTGTCTGGTTGAGATTGCTGGGAATTGAACTCAGGACCTTTGGAAGAGCAGTCAGTGCTCTTAACTGCTGAGCCATCTCTCCAATTCACCACCCTCCCCCATTGCTTTTTTTAAAAGTCGTGATTTTAAACGTATAAGGGAGTAGAAATAGTTAAAAAAAAATCACCCACCCATCTTGGATTCACAGTTGCAAACCTCATTCCAGAGCCAGCACCACTGCCCGTGCTGTCACAATTAATCCTTGTGGGTCTGTCCCTAAATACTTTTGTATGTGGCTGGAAACCAAGGGCCATTTCCCTGTGTATAAAACTCTCCTGTGTGTTAATGGCCCAGTGCTGCTCCTGCTCGTGGGCTAGGCACTGGGTCAGACTAACCTTTTCCTCTGGCCTCTACAGGAGAGGTGCAGTCCCTCCCTCGGGCTGCCCTGCATCTCTCTCTTTTTCCTGACCGTTCACAGACAACTCCCACTCTCTCTTTTCACTCCCATGGCCCCTAAGCTGAGCTGCTCTGGGGATTTGCTTTTGTCCTAACTCTACTTCAGGTAAATCATTTCCTCCCATGCCCTGAGCTCCCTGTGAAAGGGAGGGAGCAATGGCGTCTTTCATACTGGACTAGATTGAGGCTTAACAACATAATGACAAAGAATGAGAGTGTTTCCAAGCAGAAGTCTTGAGGTGGTCTTCCACGATAGCAGTGTAGATAGCTTGGAAAGATAATCTCTGGTCAGGCATGGTGGCATGAGCCATTGCTTGGAAGGCAGAGGCAAGTGGATCTCTGTGAGTTCAAGGCCAGCCATATCTGCAGAGTGAGTTCCAGGACAGTCAAGGGCTACATGGAAAGAAGGAGAGAGAAAAACATGTGAATGTATATATATATATATATATATATATGTATATGTATATGTATATGTATATGTATATGTATATGTATGTATATATGTGTATATGTATACACATACACACACACATACATATATATCTGGCTAGGGCTGTAGGTCAGTAGTAGAGCTTTTGCCTAGCATGTGTGAAGAAAGCACCCTGGATGCACTCACCACCAACACACACACACACACACACACACACACACACACACACAGAGAGAGAGAGAGAGAGAGAGAGAGAGACTATATATCTGCATCTATATTTTGAAGTGCCTGTATTATATTCTCCCTCTGTGCACATATACAGAAAGTGTCAGAGCTGTGGGCAGCCCTGGTGACATCTTGTCAAGATTTTTGGGAAGCATTGTTAGTGGTTGGGAAACAGCTCTGCTAGCAGGCTACTGACACTTTTTTTTTTTTCCAGACAAGGTTTCTCTGTGTAGTACTTGCTGTCCTGAAACTCACTCTGTAGACCAGGCTGGCCTGGAACTCAGGAATCTGCCTGCCTCTGCCTCCCAAGTGCTGGGATTAAAGGTCTGTGCCACCA